CGAAGGGTTTGTCTCAATTCCATTTTTATTTCGTCCATGGGAGCCGATTTTGGAGCAATTTGGACTGCCATCTTCATCAACTATTATGGAGTAAGTGCTTTCTTCACCTTGTGAGTTAAATACATGATTTATATACGGATTTAAGCATGGAAATTTGTAGAAATTGGATTTTTTGATAGAAAGCCTAGAAATTTGGTATTTTTGAATCTTGACTACGAATTTGGGCATGAAATTGAGAATAAACTATATATTTGAGTTCGTGAGGCTATGGGTAAAATTTATCTTCGAAAATTTTCGAACCCGAGCACGTGGTCCCAAGGGTGATTTTATCGTCTTTTCGAACGGAGTTGAAAATTGTTATAAATTAAATTGTTATAAGTTTTAGAGTATATTTTTATTGGTTTGCACATTGTTTGACTAGTTTTGGAGCGTTGGGCATCAATTTGTGGTGTTAGAGTGGCGGTGGAGCCGGTTATGAAACTTCGGAGCAAGATAAGTCTCTTGTCTAATCTTGTGAGGGGGAAATTACCCCTAGATGTTGTAAATTGATGTGTGCTACTTGTTGTGGGGGCTACGTACGTGCGAGGTGATGAGAGTCCGTACGTAGTTACATTCAGGTTATTGTCCGGGTAGGTTTAGGTTCATGTCATGCTATAACTGTACTATTTGAGCAGCCTCTCGCCTATTAAATTCCGTTGTTTTACATTACTACTTGAGACTAGACTTGCTATCACAGAGATTTCACGAGTTCATGATGAGTCACTGTATAATTGTATCCCTCTTACGAAATAATTTCGCGATATATATATATGTTTCATTGAAAGGTTTTGTTAAAGAAATTATAACTCACACGTTTATTCGTGAGTGGGGTCAAGGACCCGTTAAAGCTTTTTATTCCAATGGGATCGGTTTATACGGCTCGACAGGATTATGTACTTCTCATCTTATGGGATCGGGCTATTCGCCTCGGTAGGATTTATGTACCACGCTCTCATGGGAGCGGGTCGTTCGCCTCGGCAGGTTAATAGATGCATCTATAGTTCGTGCCGTTCGACCCTCAGCAGTGCACAGTTGAATCATTTATGTTGGATTGGGTCGTGTGCCTCGGTATTTCTATAAAAATATCCTCATGGAAATCGTGCGTAATATTTGGCAAGAAGCTAGTGTATTTGTGAGTTTTTCTGATTTGAATTACGACAACCTATCTGATGAGATCTACCATATCTACATATACACTTGATGATAGGCTATAATTGCGTATTTTAGTCGCTTATTACACTCTAATTTACTACACTTTAATTGAGTTTGAGCTTTAACCGCTAATGTTTTGCACTAACTGTGTGTTTTGTTCCTTGTATGAGTGATTTCAAGCTATATAGATGTTATAAAATGAATTCAAGTGATTTAAAGCTTTGAAGTCTGAGTAAAAGCCCAAGAAATTAAGCCGGGATCGTGTTCAGGGGTCAAATTTGATAGTTAAGAACAAACGAAGACTCGAGTAAGCGTATTGCGAACTTCTAGTAAACTAGACATAACTTTTTTCTCAGAACTCCATTTGGGCTCCACAATATATGGTTGGAAAGCTAACTCAAAGATCTACAACTTTCATATTTTACATTTATCCAAATTCTCAACAAAATAGGGTGAAAAGTGCGCGGTCGCGCTCAGGACGAGCTCGTCAGGCAAAATCAAAGTGGATATGCGCGGTTTGAGCGCGGTCGCGCACGTCCTTCCCGGAAAAAGTATCCTTTTTCGCATTGGAGAAGGTATAATTGTTTGGATCCGATTGGTATATATACATAGAAAAACGGTATTTTGAGGAGGTTGGACAGATTTGAGACATATATTCGACCTAAGGAGGCAGATATACAATAGAAGCAAGGCGGGGAATTCTTCTACGGGTATTTTCTTCCTCTTCCTATTTTTCATTGTTGGTTATGACTTTTAGTATTGTAGTTTTACATACTATTATGAATAGCTAATTTGTTATCTAGGGTTTTGATGGAACCTTTTGTAAGATAAATTCTTGTTATGTTTTTATATAATTGAGTCGTAGTATTTTCTCTATTTGTTCAACTATATTATTCTTGTGATTGATTGAAGGGCCCTCAATTAGCTGTCCCTATTTAGTATGTATTACTCGGGAGAGAGTGCATAGTTAGGTAGTTGTTGAACAACATCACTCCCGACGTATGTGAGGAATCAATAACAAATGGTTTAAAGGTGGGATTAGGGATAACAAAACTTTGGGTGCGATCTAAGTGAGCTGTAATTAAAGCCAGCTAGCGTAACTCGGGAGAGTATGTCTAGTAAATTGTCGTAATTACTCAGAAGAAAATTACAACACGCAGAGCGCTCATGATCGGTAGAGAAAACTTAGGCGAAATTATAGAAGACATAGCGGGAAGGATTCTGACAATTGGGGAAATCATAACTCTAGACCTCTTAATCTTTTCTCTAACTTGTAGTATCTTTAGTGTTAATTTATTATTTTAATTTGCTAGTTTGTTAGTTAAACACAAGAATCTTAATATCTATAAGTTAGGAATTGTTCAAGCTTGTATTCTTGGTGATAGTGAACAACTGTAGCTAAGCCTTAGTTCTCTGTGGGATTCGAATTCGGACTTGTAAACCGGATTATATTTGCAATAACCGCTTTGTCCTTTTTATAAGGCATAGTTGGGCGTGATCAACACTACGGTTAAGGAGGGAATTGCTAATGAAGAGCTTGAGTTTATTGCAAAGAGGAGAACTGTACCATGTATTTTATACTTGTTTATGTCATTTATTTATTATGCCTCATATTTATTTACCTCTTTACTGTACCTGATATTATTGGACCACTAGTAAGTGTCGATGTCGACTCCTCGTCACTACTCATCCGGGGTTAGGCTAGATACTTACTGGGTACACGTCGATTTACGTACTCATACTACACTTGCTGCACATTTTTGTGCAGGTACATTTATGTCTGGTGGTCCTACGGGCGCAGAGGTGTGGTTACTTGCGGGGACTTAGGCGAGCTGCATCCTATGTTACAAGTACGCAACACGCAGAGTCTCCTTCAGAGTATTTATATATTTCCTGTCCAAATTTGTATTCTGGACAGATGATGTATTTTATTTTACTTCCTAGTTGATGCTCATGCACTTGTGACACCGAGTTTTGGGGTATTTATGGGTTGTTCAGTATTGTGGTTGTAATAAAATATCATCATTTACTCTGTAAATTTTATCACTTATCATTTAACTGAAGGAAATTATGATTTCAAAATACTAAAAAGAGTAATTAAGTTAATAAATTTTTGTTGGCTTGCCTGACAACGGTATTAGGCGCTACCACAACCTTTAATGAATTTTGGATCGTGATAATCCTAGTTCTAACATGATGCGCAGAATAATAGAGAATTCAAATGGGCATACATTGAAGAACAAGAATATTCTTCAATTTAAGAAATTTTCTTGTGGTGCTTGTTCTCAAGGAAAATTGGTTATTAAACTATTAACAACTAAAGTTGGGATTGAATCCCCTGAAATTCTGGAACGTATACAGGGTGGTATATGTGGACCTATACACCATCCATGTGGACTATTTAAGTATTTTATGGTCTTGATAAATGCATCTACAAAATGGTTACGCGTGTGCTTATTGTCAACTCGTAATATGACATTTGCGATATTGTTAGCCCAAATAATAAGGTTAAGAGCACAATTTTCAGATTATGCAATTAAGACAATTCGTTTTGATAATGCTTGTGAATTTACATCTCAGGCCTTTACTGATTATTGTATGGCCACAGGAACAAAAGTTGAGCATCTGGTTGCTCACATTCATAGTCAAAATGGTCTAGCAGAATCCTTGATTAAACGCCTCCAATTAATAGCTAGACCAATGCTAATGAGGACAAAACTTCCCCTTTCAGTGTGGGGACATGCTATTTTACATGCAGCAGCACTTGTGCACATAAGGCCAACCAGTTATAATGAAGTCTCCCAATTACAATTGGCTTTTGGCTAGGAGCCAAAAGAATTTTTGGATGTACAGTATATGTTCCAATTACTCCATCACAATGCACAAAGATGGGTCCCCAAAGAAAGTTGGGAGTATATGTTGGTTATGAATTTCCTTCTATTATTAAATATTTGGAGCCTATGACAGGAGATTTGTTTACAACCAGATTTGTTGATTGTCATTTTGATGAATCAATTTTTCCAATATTAGGGGGAGAAAATAAATAGATGGAAAAGGAGATAGATTGGAATGTATTATCTCTATCTCATTTGGATCCCGCACAAATTAATGTGAACAAGAAATTCGAAAGATCATTTATATGAAAAATATTGTAAATCAATTTCCAGATGCATTTACTAACCTTCCACGGGTTACTAAATCGCATATTCTAATTGTAAATGCTCCAATTAGAGTTGATGTCCCAGCTGGACAATATAATAATGCAAATGAGTCTAGGTCACGCCTTAAACGTGGTAGACCAATCGGTTCCAAGGATATGAATTCCCGAAAAAGAAAAGGAGCAAATGATCAAGTTGATCATAATATCAAGAGGAGCATAAATACATAATAATTGATAAAACCTCACAAGAGGTTCTAGTACCTGAAAATGATAAAAATAAAGAGATCTCAATATGTTATGTCTCTACAGGAAAAAGATGGAACAGAAATAATATTGTTATTGACAATAATTTTGCATATAACGTTGTAGTTGAAGTAATGCAACAAGATGAGGATTTTGAGCCAAAATCTATCAACGAATGTAGACAAAGAAATGATTGACCAAAATAAAAAAAAATTCAATTCAAGCGTAATTGGCTTCAGTCGGAAAATGTGAAGTTTTCGGACCAATAGTCCGAACGCCTGAAGGTGTCAGGCCAGTGGGGTATAAATGGGTTTTTGTGCGTAAACAAAATGAGAAAGGTAAAGTCGTAAGACATAAAGCACGACTTGTGGCATAAGGGTTTTTGCAAAGGCCTAACATTGATTATATGGAGACATATTCTTTTGTGGTAGATGCAATTATCTTATGGTATCTAATAAATCTGGCAGTTCATGAAAAGCTTGATATGCGGTTGATGGATGTTGTCACATCCTACTTGTATGGCTCGCTAGACAATGAATTTTTTATGAAAATCCTTGAAGAATTTAAAGTTTCTGAAGCACATAAAAGTTCAAGGAAAACTTGTTCAATAAAGCTTCAGAAATCCTTGTACGGATTGAAGCAATCAGAGAGGATGTGGTACAATCCCCTTAGCAAGTATTTGCTAAAGAAAAGGTACAAAAATGACCCCATTTGCCCCTCTAATTTTATTAAGAGGTCTGGATCTGAATTTGTCACCATAGCTGTGTATGTAGATGACTTGAATACCATTGACACTTCTAAAGAGCTTCCAAAGGTTGTAGAGTGTTTGAAGAAAGAATTTGAAATGAAAGATTTTGATAAGACAAAATTTTGTCTTGGCCTACAAATTGAGCATGAAACAAACAGAATTTTTGTCCATTAATCAACATACACTGAAAAGGTTTTAAAGCGATTTTACATGAAAAATGCACATCTATTGAGTACTCCAATGATTGTGAGACCGCTTCACATAAATCAAGATCCATTTCGCCTCAACAAAATGACGAAGAACTCGTTGGTGATGAAACTCCATATCTTAGTGCAATTGGGTTACTGATGTATCTTGCTAACAATACCGACCATATATTGCTTTTGCAGTAAGCTTATTAGCAAGATTCAGTTCCTCTCCAACAAGAAGGTATGATTTTAAACATATATTTAGATATCTTCGGGGAACTATAGATATGTGATTGTTTTATTCTAATAGATTCAAGTCAGAAATGATTGACTATGCCGATGCAGGTTATTTGTCTGATCCACATATAAAGCCCGATCTCAAACGAGCTATTTGTTTATATATGGAGGTACAATTATATCATGGTGTTCAATGAAACAAACAATTGCTGCCACATTTTCAAATCATACTGAAATAATAGTCATTCATGAAGCTAATCGAGAATATGTTTGGTTGAGATCAATGACTCAACATGTTCAGCAAATGTGTGGTTTTCTTATGAAAAAAGATAATCCAACTACACTATATGAAGATAATGTTGCTTGCATTGCTCAACTGAAAGGAGGATACATCAAAGGAGACTGGACAAAGTGCATTTCACCAAAAAAAAAATTCACGCATGATCTTCAACAAAATGGTGAAATTAATGGTCAACAGATTCGTTCAAGTAAATCTGTTCGCTAAGGCATTACCAACTTCACCATTTGAGAAGTTGATACAGAAGATTGGAATGTGCCGTCTTCGAGAAATAAAGTGATATTTTTATGAGAGGGAGTAAGATACGCGATGTACTCATAAGGTTTTTAACGAGGCAGCAAATAAAGTGTATTACAGATATGTGTACCCTTTTTCCTTCATTAAGATTTTTTTCCACAAGATTTTTTCTTAGTAAGGTTTTAACGAGGCATATTATCTATTTTTGGACATCGAAGGGGGAGTATTGTAAAACCTATAGTAATTGTGGATGTCCACTACTCCCACTACTTTCACCTATGATGTAGATAGCTTTCCACTACTCATCACTATTATGATTGCAATTCTCACACCTCCATACCCCTCCCATGATCTTCCGCATGATCTCAATTATTAATGTTATGTGTAAGACAATCATTTTGTAACCTTTCATGTAATAGTATAAATAGAGGCATGGAATGTGATATGTGACACACTTGAACACTTGATGAAATAAGAAAACTATCTCTTCTTGTATTATTGTATTACTTATCTTCTTGTTTTATATTGTTATTCTGAACTACATTACTTTAATACTAGTCGAAATATAGTCAATTTTTATCCATAAAAACATAGAGCTACTACGGTTTAGGACTGATTTAGCACCGAAAAGTGGTCCATTTCATTAAGACGGTAAAGAAACGAGTCAAAAACATTGAACTAATTTTTACATATTCCAGCAAAAGATACTTGTATCCTTTTTTGCCTTCCAATTGCCCCACATCATCATCATCCACTTCGTTGCCTCTGCTCAAATTCCACCCCACCCCCACCCCCGCCCCCTGCCCCTCGTACATAAATATATGTCAAAGAATTTCTTATGAACCCAGAATTTTAAAATCCTCCCCATTTCTCCTCCACTTTATCAACTTGACTTTGATCATCACATCAATTTTTTTGTGACAGGCTTGTAGATCAACACTTCAAGGTATGTATTTTGACTTTACTAACTTTTTCTAAAAGCTCAAGATCACTTTTTAGAAACTAATTTTTCTAGAACCCAAGAAAAAAATGTGCTAGGCGATTTGATGGTAAAGTACTGATACCCAATTTGTTTTTACATCAGATCGGTGTATATTCTTGAAATTGATTGCAAATATCTGAGTCTTTTTTGCATCTACAGAGTCGAATCTGAGCTGGGAAAAAGGAAGATCTAGAGTTTTATTTGTCATTAGAAGAAGTATGTCTTTTATTGGGACACAACAGAAATGCAAGGCCTGTGAAAAGACAGTTTACCCGGTGGAGCTGTTGTCAGCTGATGGGGTTAATTATCACAAGTCTTGCTTCAAATGCAGCCATTGCAAAGGAACACTTAAGGTGCTTTTGCTATGCTTATATAAACTACAATCTGGTTTTCACTTTATGTTGTTTGCTTTTTGTGCATAAAGTATTAGTCTTAAGTTGTGAAATTGGAAAAAGAGTAAACTTGTCTTGATTCACAAATACTATCCTAAAAAAGAAAAATATCTCCATGTTGGATCATACTGCATTGGTAGTTGTACTTTGAGCATTGACAATTGGACGAGGCCAAGCATTGAGGAAACTGTACCCAAGATTTGAATAGTTTAAACTAATCCGAAAAGAAGAAGATAAAGATTTGAATAATTCCATATGAAAAGGATAATGGTGTTTAGACTCAATTGACTGATGTTATGTATTTGTGAACTTTTTGTTAGCTGAGCAATTTCTCCTCAATGGAAGGTGTTCTGTATTGCAAGCCCCATTTTGAGCAGCTTTTCAAGGAGTCTGGCAACTTCAATAAGAACTTTCAGTCACGTAGGTCTATATATTCTTGCTTAGTTAAGTTCTTTCTCCAATTTTATACCTGATCTGCTTTATTCATAATATCAAACGTATTTTACTTTCACAGCTGCGAAGTCAGCTGAGAAGTTAACTCCTGAGCTGGTAAATTTTCTTTGCATCTACTTGTGTACAAAATTAACAAACTGAAAATCAACAAACCATGCCTCATACTCTCTCCTTTCTTGTTTTGTTATGCAGACAAGGTCGCCTAGTAAAGCTGCTGGCATGTTTTCTGGCACGCAGGAAAAATGTGCAACTTGTGGTAAAACAGCTTACCCACTCGAGAAGGTAAAAACTGGCTCCTCAAATTTTCCCTAGCCATGATGTTTCTGTTGAAAAGTAAACCGTTGCATTCTTCTTTTTGCTGTAAGTTCCTATTCTGGAACTTCAATTGGGAAAAGGTGGTTGCCCATTTCGCTTATTTGATGCATCAATAAGTTGCTTGTCTGTGGCAATGGTGTCATCAATTTCCTGCTGTGGATTTAGCATTGTCAGAACGTTACTGATTTTCAGTGGCGCGTGAAAGCACAATTAGCGTTTAAGTAGCTTTCCAATGTGAAAGTGCACAAGCAATGTTCATTTAGAGAGCAGGGACAACCTTTTACTTTTAAATGGTTGGAGGTGCTTTACCAACTGAGCAAGCCTCACTTGTCATTTACACCACATTTGTTGGTTAAAACGATAGGATTGATGTTATAAATGGTATAACGTTAGCATAACAACTGAAGTCCACAAAGATCTATTCTTTTCTTTTTTTCCGGTAATAAGATGTGAATATATTACCAGACAACCAACCATCAATTTACACAGAAAGAGCACTCACTACTGTTATAGAACCAGTAAATGAGCCTCGAACACCTCTCTCTCTCAAAAAAAAACTACTAGCTACATATCCCATCAATTAGAAATCTAGTTTTCCTCGCTTCCTTAGTTTCCTTCAACATATCAATTGTCTCCCTTATTACACTTTGGATTTGCTACAAAACAAAACTATTATTTACACTATGTCCTCTATAATGTTTCCGATTTTGTGCTTGCCATATTTGAAAGATTCCCGCTCCATATATTGCTGCCATGATGTTCTTCTTAAAGAGTCTCCAGTGTTTCCTTTTGATGTTGTGCATGGTATCCGCCACCTCTGGAAGTTGTATGCTGAGACCAATCCATTGGTTTACAAAGATCTATTCTTATTCAGTCGCAAATTGACTGTTAATGGTTCGGCCATGATAGTAGTTAAAACTGACTTGCTGTGCAAATTGGTGAGTTTGAGCATTTTGCATCTTACTCTCCCTCCCGTCATCTAGTACTCTACCAATCTTTTCCATTTTTGCACATTCTAGTGGATGCCAACTCTGAAATTATGAGGCAGAATCACATGTTATATTGCTTCCATATTTCTTAGGTAGTTCTCAGACTCTCAGTTGCCAGTTGCCACAAAATGGTGAATGTCCACCTTTGAAGTTGTAATGCAGCTAAGAAATTTAATTTGTATGAAAAGCTAGTCTTTCGATCAGAATGTGATATGACGCAAGAAAAATAGCTGAGCTGTCTAATGCTTCCATACATTCTCTTGTCCAGCAAGTAGTTATTTCTCTTGATTTATGATTTATTTTCTTGGCGGCTTGGAGATGATTTCTGAATATCATCATCTTTGATGTTGGAAGTTATATGTAAGTGAACAATACATTAGTGACCTACTTCTAGACCACAGATTCTGAGTTAAGCATACCTCTCCTCATTTTAAATTTATTTGAGAAGGAAAATATAAATATTAATTTCCTTGCAACAATTGACCTGGTCTACTGAGTACTGTCTCTAGCATTGAAACATGGAGGGGTTATCCAACGTTTACTCTAGGTTGTTAACTTTTTCTTTTCTACCTGGGAAGTTTCTACAATTGCCTTTCCTTTTTAGATCAAAATTGGAGCAGTAAACACAAGCTTTACTATTGCAACAGTTGATGCATGTGTTGGTTGCATTTTTTTAGGTGACAGTGGAGAACCAAAGTTATCATAAGACATGTTTCAAGTGTTCTCATGGTGGATGCTCTTTATCTCCTTCGAATTATGCCGCCCTAAATGGGATTTTATACTGCAAACCTCATTTTTCACAGCTTTTCAAGGAGAAAGGCAGCTACAATCATTTGATCAAGTCTGCCTCGATGAAACGTCCAGCTGCAACCGTTCCAGATTCTTAAACTCCATGTTTCAGTCACAACTACTTTATCCATCCACATGGACTTGATATTTCTTGAGTGTGTTTCTTGCGCTTTCTTTGTTCATTAGCTGGTAACCTCGTCATTTTGGGTTACTGGTTTGACCATCGTGAAGGCTATTGTCCTGATTTATTGTATCATTTAACTTTTGGATGTTGAAATTCCTGCCCCTATCAAATGATCTTTGGCAGGAGCTAATTGTGTGATACATAACAGTGTTGTTACTTAGTATTCTTCTGTTGCTCTCCTTATATTTGTCTTCTGCTTAGGTGCTGATGCGCCCTTTCCTGTCACAAAAGCAGCTCCATTGGATATGAATTTACAGTCGGTGTTTGCACCAAATAAATACATGTATGATATCATATCTCTTACATAAATTTTCATCAGGAGCATTTTGAATAAGAAAACAAAAAACAAAAAACAAAAAAAAAGGGGCATGGGATTAGGATGAGAATGTTTGAACTAACGATGACATTGTCACCGTGAAAGCTGACGAAGGATTTCTGAAAGCCCTTGTATGCTATTCCTCCATCTGTTTTTTTGCTTCTGTATTTTCTGCCTACGTTTTAGCAAATTGGGATATTTCTAGATATGTTATTAAACTTTGCTTTACAAGATGTCACGTCTTTCCTTAGGTTTAGTGGCATGTCTTTTTATTCTCCTTAACAATAGAATATGACAACCAGTACATGGTTTACTAGAAAACCAGACGGTCAAAAAAGAAAGAGTTTATTCTAAAACCAACCTATTGTTAGCGCAAAAATATAACATACACAACTGCACCTCAATCTCAAGATAGTTGTGATCGACTGCATGAAAAATCATTTAGATGCATATCAATTCAATAATTTTTGTTTTAGATTCTCTAACAAAATAAAAAAAAACTCCGAGCAAACTAAACCTTAAACATAACTAATAGTAGAAAATTCGAAATACAGGAGTGAGCAGCATGTAAGCTTGAGTTCTGCACTGAAGTAGACGAACTCCTTCACAAAGGCAACTCTGCTAGCGAGCAAGTGAGAAACCAAAGATGCAAACCTCTTCTTGAAGTTAAGCCTACCGCAGAGATTGAGCTCATACAAACTTATGGTGAAGTGAAAAATAAAGCCTAAGGCCAGACCAAAGGTGAAATTATGTTTGGCGAAATTGACTAGTTAGGTGTAAATGGTTATCACTTCTAGTAGGATATTTATTATTCAGTATCCAAATCTCAGTTTCACTATCAATCGAACAACCTCCTTCCATCCAAATTACTTGGGATTAATTATATGAATTCTATGTATCCATTCCATTTTTTAGTACTTTGGGGATTCATCATAATAAAAATTCTTTTACCTGGATGTGAAGATGGGCTCAGGCAAAATGTGGAGTGGCTGACCATTTCAAATTCAGCAGTTGTTGCTCTTGTTGGAATTACAAATCTCAGATGGTTATTTTCTGAAATGCTTATTGTAGAAAGGCATAAACAAGTTGGAACCGTGCTCAATTATAGACACCAAAGTAAGCGCTATACATACTTTTAGCACAATTTGGATTTCATACAAATGAGAGAACTATAATAACTAGGCACATATCTCCAACATAGTCCATTCAAAAAAAGTGGCATAAATATAACATAGTATATGAGCGCAAATATCATTTCTTTTTCTAAATAAAGGAGAAACGATTTACAAATTTCAGTTCCTTTCAATTTATAAATCTCATCATGACAACTACAGTAACATATAATGTAGTCTTAGTCAACAGTTTCCTCAAAGAATAAAGATAAAAGATCTTTCATTCTTAACCCTATGGTGGGAAGAATGTATAGACAAATTAAGTCACTTATTACGGATCTATTCAGGCTACTCTGGCTCTTCCCGGGTAGAGATTGCATCTTGTTTCCCATGTTACCTGGCAAAAAATAAATGAGGGAAAAATTCCTAGATACCAACTGCAAGCGCATGACTCCACTTGCATCCTGAAGGTTGAATCTTTCCTTGAACATCAATTGATATCAAAGTCGTGGTTGATGTTTTTCCAGGTTCATATTTCACTTACTACGTTTCTTTGCTTCACTATAGAGTATTACTCCAAAAACTGTGAGTGTGTAGCCAAGCATCCCTATAACTGACACTGGATTCTTAAATATTAAGATTGAGACAACAACAGCTACAGCACCTTTTGCATTTCCCAGGACCTGTGAAACGGCGAAATTCTGTTAGACATAACAACCATGAAGGAGATCCAGGAAAAATGAATCATCTCTTCATAATCCTAAACCCAAAAGAAAAAGGTAATGGAAATAAACTTCAAAACCCACTGGAAACAAATGCCAAAAACATAATAATGATAGAGGGACAAGAATATAAGTAGGCCACGCTATTTATTCTTGATTCCAATAGAGTTTTAACTGAATACTGTTTCAAGTCTATCCAAAAAATGAACTTTATCTTCTTCCTTTCCCTTTTTTCTCTTTTGGGGGTTTTTTTTTTTTTTT